AACTCCCAGAATTCCCCAGCCAGGCTGGGGAATTCTGGGAGTTGAAGTCCACGCGTCTTACAGCGGCCAAGTTTGAGGAACGCTGGTGTAGAGGATGAAGCCATAACCACAGTTGACAAGGTGGTGCCCCACCTTGCTAAGCCCAAATGGAGCAAACCCACAGCTGACTTAGCGTGTGGTGTGAATCCAGTCTGGGTTCCTCCCATGGGTGCCAACGGCTAAGGTCTCAAGCAGCTGCTTTGAAGTTAACTGGATGACCCAGAAGGGCATTGTCTCCTTATCTTTTTTCAGTCCCAGGAGGAATTAAGGAACCCTTTGCCTCGTTAAGAGCAGCCCGGGTCATGGTCTCTCTGTAGGGTCGCTATCAAAAAAGGCAAAGTGGAAACAATGAGAGGGCTCAGCTCTTTAGATATTCTTTCAGATATCCTTTTAGACTGTTAGTCATCCAATTCACCAGGGTATTTGCAACTTTTGAAAAAAGGAGTGGGAGGCCGTTCTTGGTCATACCAGTGGCCTGACGCCACCGTTCTCCACCCTCTTCTCCTTGGCTGTTCCTCCCTGCTCATTGCCCACCAGACGATAAATCTGGGTTCGAGCCGCTCGGGAGAGTTTTTGTCACGCTTGGCTCGAACTCCCAGGCCGTGCTCGATCATTCTTTGGTGAAATTATTCCATCCCCCCCCCGTGCCAGTGGAGCGCACCACTTTTTTAGTTCATGGCATCAACGCCCCAGCCTCCCCCAGTATCTTTTTCTTGGAATCGTCAGATGGACAAAATGCTGAAATGGTTTAATAGTGGAAAAACAGCCTCTTGGACTCCTCTCTGCTGGAATCTCTGCGCCATCATCGTCATTATCGTTTTTAATTTATGCGGCTGCCCGTTCACCAAGCAACCCTATGCTGTTTAAACAGCATTTTACGGAGCTCCCAAATACCCAGATCACAACACTGGACAAGAGTCTTCCCAAAGATTTCGCTTTAAGATCATTTGGGTCAGTTCAGTCTAAGTTTGTTCCCTTAAATCTCCCAAGTCCACAGGACCCGTGTGTTTCGAATTAAAATTTATTTCAGTGAGGGGTTGGCTTCGCATTAAATATAGGTTGATGAAACATGATTTCTGTGCTGCTATAAATGATACGGCCAAATAAATAAATGGCATATTGGCTTAATTCTGTGACGGGTTCTGAGAATATCCTCGGATGAGGGCTGGGTTCCCACAAGGTGATATAAACTCCCCAACTTTGTTTTAGCCCAATCCGGTCTGTGGTCTGAATGCAGCCAGAAAAGGCCCATAAATGTAACCTCCTTTTGTCAAAATCATCGGGACTTGAATGTGCCGTTGTCGTCTGCAATGTTACTCTGAAAATGCCTTCGTTATTAAGATCTTTGCAGCAATGCTGACCTCTTTAACTCTTTTCCCATTTCCATCTTGGGGGAATCGCTCTGGGAAAAGCTTTTGGCTTTTGCCTTCCAGTTTGGCCCATTTCTTGTGATGCTTGGCACCCTCTTTTGAGGAGCAGGTGGATGGTGGCTATTCTTCTAAACCCTGGTCAGCAGATCAGAGACACCCAGTTTCCTGGCGCGGTGGGAAAGAGAGGGTTGAAATACGATCAGTTTTAGTAGCAGGGTTGTTGAACGATCCACGTGTTTCCTTATGTCAACAGGTTCTGGATGCCAGAGCTGGCTAGAAGTGTTTTGTTTTTGTTTTAAACTGCACATGCCAACTTTCTTTTAGAGGGATCTGTAATCTTTAACCGCCGTTCTGTCTTTTATTAATGATTTACCCACATTTCAGGGTATCGTGTGTGCAGGAGGCAGATAGGAAGATGGTCAGTGTATGGAGCCCGTTACCCAGTTTGATCTGCTGCTGCTCTTCTTTTGAAAGACGGTGGAGGGATCTGCTCTTAAGAAAAGGAAAAGGGGAGGAGAGGGTCCTCGGTTGCATGAACTGAAGCAAAGATGGAAAATGAGCAGCCCAAAGCACGTCTTGGATTTCCGTTGTGAGAGCGCGTTAGACCGGGAGTTCCCTTTTTCACTAAGTGACGTTGTGCTTACCTGCAGGAAGTCATTTGGCCAAGTATAATATAAAATACGCGTATAATATTGCAAACTCCCCGTGGTTCTTCGTCTCTGTCCTTGCGGCACACAAGAGGTAGGATCGATAACCCAGGTTCGTTTATACTGCAGGTTTTATATGTGTCAAAATCTTATTTTTCCCCTTCTAGCAACAATGCCCAAACAATCAGACAGTTTCTATGTTGATTTTCTGCTTGCTGGTAAGGCTTTTTATACAACCTACGATGTTGTGAAGTGTTATCTAACATCAAGGCTTCAGTAGGGGATCCATAGTAGGATTTAAGATGGATTATTTGTTTACAGAGCAAGTAATATTTTGTTACAGTTAGAGTTACAATGGGACTTACAGGATTGCACAGTAATGCATCCAACTTAATATAATTAATTTAATAACTTTGCTTCCATTGGGTGACAGCCCTGCCTTTAACCCAGGGATTCCCAAAGTGATCAGACATTATTTTCATAATAATAATGTTTGGGGGTTGACGAACAATCTGAAACTTCACAAAGGGGTTGATGAGCTGAAAAGTCTGGGGACCCCTGCTTTAACTGATCAGTTAAGCTCTTGTCAAAATCTCAGTAAAGATGCAAGTACAGAAGATCAATGTAAGAAATGAAAAGTATTATTTACATTCCACAGAAAAAGTCACTTTGGTTTCAATTGTGGGGCTCTTTCTCTTGCAAAGTGGATATTCTTGGTGGCCGCTGAATTGTAGGACTGAGACATCTTAACAGTCCAGCTCCTCTTTCAACCATGTGTTTTCATTTTATTGGTTTTGTTTTTAACTGGCAATGGCTGGAATTCTCTACTCATCTTCTCATGTATTTTATGAAGGATGCTGTTTTAATTTCTGTAATTCTGCTCCGAGTACGTTTGTACTGAAAGGCTAGTAAGAAATGCAAACGAATCTTGAGTGGTGGGATTAGAAGAGGGGAGGAGATCGTTTGGCTAGATTAACATCCAGCTAGGTTTATTCCCTGCTCTTACCAATGGTTTGTTTACCCATGATTTATGGAGTAAACCATCATTGGCTGGGTTCATACAACCCTTATATGCAAACCCCAGGGGTTGGGTTCACACAACAGATTGAACCAAAACCAATCAGTGTCATGGTTCAGTGAGATGGGTGAACCCTGCCTTGATCCCCCAACCTAGATTGGATCTGTAGGGACTACAACTCCCAGTGAGCACATCTAGAGAGCTTCAGCTTGGAAAAGGCTGCTGCAGATAAAATAATAGCAAAGGGATACAGATTGCCTTGAGTTTATGGATCTGTCCTTCACCCAACCTCCTTGGGTCCCCAAATTTTGTGAATGGACACCTTTGGCAGGTAGGAAGTCCTGAAGATGCTTTTTTTTCTGATGCCATTTAAATGATCATTTCTTTCCTTCCATAGTTTGTTGTGATCAGGATCCAAGAATGCCAGCTGTAGGCTTTGCTCCGTTTTCATCTTAGCAGGAGCCCGCTAGACAGGAATTACGAGCCTCTTGGCTGGCTCCCTCTGCCGATTTTTGGCACCTGGCCGAGAAGAGCAGCTGCCTCTGAAAAGGTGTGGGATTTGAGATGTTTCTGGGTAGTTTAGGGAGGTAGGTGATGCTTCTCCACTCTAGGGTGTGTCTGCTTGAGAGGATCAGTTTTCAGATTGGGAAGCAAAACGGCTGCACGCCAGGAAGGTCTCTCCCCACCTCCCCGTTCATGACCATTTCATTTCTTTTGGATTCCTCTTTCTCCTCTAGATTTGGGGAAGCCTCTGATCAGTGACCTGAGGGAGCCGGAAGAACCTCGGATGCAGACACCCCAGGGAAGCCCGCTAGTCCTTCCTCACACCTTGCAGGAGCTGTTGAGCAAAGACACAATCCAGGTGCAGCTGATCCCAGAGAAAAAGGGGCTCTTTTTGAAGCACGTGGAATATGAAGTCTCCAGCAAGGTAACCGCTCGTTGGTAATGAGGAATAAGTTCAATTTCTTTGCTTGACTTGAGAAACTTGGTGGATTCTCCAGATGAGTTCAGTTGAGAAACGGAAGGGCTTTATTTGCAGAAAGCAGTAAGATTGGGTTGAAGAGTGAAGCAACTTTTCTTGGCTTTGAGCTGGAGTTTGCATGATTGCAACAGACTGCGTCTTGGAAGAGCTTTCCAAGGAGACAGAACACCTTTGGTATTTGGCAGTTGTTAACCGATGCCACATTTAGCTTTGGTATGCAAAATGTAAACTATTTTATGCTAATCGACATTGCTACTTTATAAATCATAGTTAATGCTGATAGAAACGTCTTCTCTTTCTTTCTCTCTAAAGGGTTAAGTTAACCCTTGATTAGGGCTGTTCTCAGATAATATAATGCACTAGTTATGTTTTATAATCATACAGTAAAAGAAATTATAGGAAAAAAGGAAGGGACACCTTTTCTACTATTACGTCTCTTCCATCACTTTGCATGCATCGGCTCAAAGCAAAATCTGTATTTTTCTTTAGAACCTTCAAGCGTTTCTGTATTTAATCAGTCAAGTTCCTCATGTGCATGAAAGAAGGGGGTAGGATGGGTAAAAACGGTCTCCCCCCCCCAAATTGAAAAGGTGTTTACAATATTGTTTTATTGATTTGCCTGAAACCCTGATATGGTGCCCAACTTTCTTTATGGCTCTTGGTGGCTCACAAGGGTCTATAGGCAATAAAATGATTTCAACTATTGTACTGTGATTGTAAAAGCGATTGTGTGTCCATATTCATCAGGAGTCCAACCTCACTTGATGGGAAGTCACTCTTTTCAATATTAACCAGGTTAATCCGGAGGCAACTGTGTTGGTCCAATAACTGATTTCTCCATTGACTCATTGCATCTGTTACGTGTGCTGAGTTGAAATATGATTATTCCTTAAATATTTATACCCTGCCTGCCATACAGAAGCATTTCATTTTCATCTGATTTTCAAATCAATCGCAATCTGGTTCCCAACCTAGCATCCTATGGGATTTTTTCAATTTTATTGATTTGTTTACATCAGTTTAAAAATAACCAACTCCCAACAACTCCGGGTGCTTTACATTCTTAAAAGCCAGAACGATAAGGTAAAAGAACAAAGAGATTGCATCCAGGAAAAAAAAAAGACCCTATACCGAACAATACCAAATCTTACAGGGTCTCACCGCTATCCTACCCCAAGGCCTGGGAGAATAACCAGGTTTTCATTGTCTTCCAGAACGTCATCAGGTGGGAGCTCTACGGATCTCTGGGGGGAAACCATTCCAGTGGGCAGGTGCTGCAACAGAGGAGGCCCACTTCTGGGGTCCCACAAAGTGACATGGTTTAATTGAGGGGACTTGAAATGCTCCCACTCTGCCAGATCTTACCAGGTGGGCAGATGGGATACCTGGCAGCCTCCTGCCTCTTATCTCTCCCCATCCTGAAAAATTGGCCAGACTGGATACGTTGCCTTCTGTGGTCCTGATGAGGTTCTACAAAAATACTCCCCAACATCAGCATAGACATCCTTGTGGGGATGGCTCCGTAGAGTCCTTGAGCCATAGGGTCTTCCACTGCTTTCTCTCCAGGGAATCTCTGATGACTTTTATCTACTCTATCCTGAAGAAGTCAAGAAAGCTTGACTTCTCTCTGTCCCTTTTCTCGTCCAAACATTATTTAGATATATCTTCTTAGGTTGACCAGTTTTGATCTTCTATAGGTACTCTTTCTCTAGCATCTGCAAAATTCTTTTCTTCTTAGCCTTACATGTTTCCATTTTGACCTGCTTTACTTGATTCTGATTGCTGGCCTTACCGCCGTAATAAATAATAAAGGTTTGATTGGATTGGATCTTCACCGGATGAAAATAAATTGCTTGCATCTCAGGAAGCGTCAGGCCTTACTTCAGTCTACTGTAGGCATTTCATCCTTGGGGTGCTGCTTTCCTGGCCCTAGCCCTAACCTGAAGTTGCTTTTATGCCCATATTTAATCCTAAAAGTTAAGTGGCTGCTGGCCGTAGGAAATACCTCATACAGGAATAATCTGTACATTTTAAAAGTTGTTTTTTTTTTAATAATCTGCGAGCAAAACACACATACAGTGCAAGATGCAAAGATCGCTGATTGGTGTTGCCAGATTGAAGAAAGAGCAAATAATATTCCAGCTGCAAATGTAGTTGGAGTGCCCTTAGGGAATATATAAAGCCTATCAATTTAAGCCCTTTAAATCGTTGCTAAGTACTTGTACTGACGGAATTCAATCCGTTTCTCTTGCTGATGAAAACCTCGATTTAAATCCCTGACTTAAATTCTCCTGAAATAAGGGGTTCTTCCCCGAAAAGGCTTTGCTTCTCTTCTTCTGCACTTGCTGCTGGCAGTTTTTATTAGCACTTGTATTTCAGAGTGATTCGAGTTCCAGTGAACGAGGGTGGGGAAGACTTCCAGCTCGTTGAATCATTTAGGCTTTAGAAAGGATTTATTGCTGCAATATGTGGCAGGAGTTAGTTAGACGTGTTGTGAAAGAGACCTCGGCTGAGGCCTGGTGGATTCTTTGATGCTCAAGCCAAAGGTGAATTGATAGGGTCATCCTCACCAACTAGCTGGCCACCACTTGAAATGAGATCTATTCATTCATTTAATCAATGGATGTAGCCGCCTATCTCAACAAGTGGCTCTGGGCAATGAACCGTTAAGGGAAAAGTAAAAACAACGGGAACTACAAAAGTTAAAATATGTAGCAGCCAAGAGAAATATGACAAATCATTAACCCAACCAGGATAGGGGTCCTTTCACACACTTGGAGACCCAGGCCCGGGCCCAGAAACAGGTATTTAGGGCCTTGTGAAAGGCCAGCAGGGTTGGGGCCGACCTGATCTCCTGAGGGAGAAGGTTCCACAGGGTGGGCGGTACAGCAAAAAAGGCTTATCTTCTGGCCCCCACCTGCCGGCATTCCTTAGTCAATAGGACCTGGAGCAAGCCCATCCTGACAGACTGGATTGGATGGGTAGAAACAACTAGGGTCCCTGAAGTAACCTGCCCCCAAGCCATGAGATGCTGGGCTAGATGGTACCCAGATCTTCAGCAGCTTCTGTTTCTGTTCCAAGGTGCAAAGAGCTACAGCATCTCTTTTGAGGAAGCTCTGAATGGGCTCCTTCATTCTCCCTACAGCGTTTTAGGTGCTCCGTTTACCGGCGGTATAACGACTTTGTGGTCTTCCATGAGACACTCCTTCAGAAGTTCCCCTACCGCATGGTCCCTGCCCTGCCTCCCAAAAGAATGTTAGGAGGTAAGCTCGGAAGGGATGAGATGGGAGGTAAGTGAAGTCAAGGAAGGCCACTGGGTTTCAATGCCAGCCTTCCCCAGGCTGGTCTTTCCAAATGGGTTGGGACTATGTCAGGACTCCAATCTGGCGTTCTGTTGGGAATGGAGGGTGCCATGTTGGCCAGAGCGTGTGGCTGGCATTGGTAGAATAAGTGGGGCTCCCTTTTGTGTAACGTAAAGCTGTCAGGAGGGTTTTGAAGGTTGAGGTTCCTCAACCTGGCCCTTCTCCCATCCTCCAGCTGACCGAGAATTCATCGAGACCAGACGCCGGGCGTTGAAGCGTTTTGTCAATCTGGTGGCCCGACACCCTCCTTTTTCAGAAGATGTGCTTCTGAAGTTTTTCCTCTCTTTCAGTGGGTCGGTAAGTGTGCCTGAGAGGTGCTCCATGGGTCGTTGGGTATGTGGTGGAGATCAGCACTTGCCAGCTGCCTCCTACTAGTTAGATATCTACTGAAACATTGTCCACAGCAGGATTTTCTATCCTGGGCCACTTTTACAGGAAGTTGAGGATACTTACAAGTTCTCTAGCTGCTTGGTTGCATGTATATCCAATGAAGGAGATAACCAAGTTTGTGGTGCTTAACCTTGCTTTAAGCAGCATGTGATCTTACAAAATGTCATCCCAACAGCACTTAACTAGATGACAGAGATTGATTCATTGCACGATGAACTAGTTGTTTCCAGTTAATTCTGTGGTTGACCTCGCAATACCTGGTATCTCAGAGGGCTACTGCTCCTAGCTATTGAACAAAAGCATCAGCCAAAAATGATACACAATGTGGGTGTGGTGCTTTAAGGTATTTTTGGAGGGAGGGAGGGCAGCATCGTTTTGGGCGATGGCCTCTCCCAGTCAAGGGTAGATGGTTGGTTGAGGGGGAGTTCTGTGAGAGATTGAAAGCCACTGTGAACTGAGCCCTGGTCCTTGTTGGCCCTGCGAGGTAGTCCAGATAAGAAGCAGAGCCAGGAGTCCTAGTTTTATCTTTATGGTAAGGTGACATTAACAGAACCTTGAAAGTATTTCTCCCCTTCTTTCCTTTTACTCTGTGGAAAACTAGGGAGGGTCTCTTCTGAGATGCTTCCCACGCCCCTTTTCCTGGGGTGGGCTGAGATACCTTTTACAAGCCAGTTGTCCAGTCTGTGTCTCTCCCTCCTGTCTCTCAAAGTCATTCCCACAGACCATTACAGACCCAGAGGTGATTCCTTACCCACTTTAGATACCTGGGGGGCGGGGGGATGAAGGATCCTGCAAGAAAGAGCCATACAGCTTTGTCCGGACAGGTCAAGTGAAGTCCAATGCCAGATCTTTCCAGATGCCAATTGCATAGCTTCCAGTAACCGTCCAGAGGTGGCCTTTGAGTCAAGGGGTGAGAGATTAGCTCTCGCACAGAGGCAACAAAACGTTGAGACGTTGTGCTGACAGAAGCAAAAATCCAGGAACGCTAAAGGAGACAGCCGTTGCTCAACACCACCGGTTCTAGGAATTCCCTCCAGGTCCTTTCTGCACTTCTGGCTCCCTCTTCCTATTTCTCCTGCTGTTCTTGTTTTTCCAGGATGTGCAGAACAAGCTGAGGGAGCTGGTCCAGGGTGTGGGAGACGAATTCATGACCTGCAAGTTAGCAACTCAGGCGAAGGTATTGTCTGGTGACACCTCCTGTTTGAGAAGGGGACATGGCGTGGCTTGAGCAGAATCCCTCTTTCGCAACAGAACAATACGAGGCTGGGGAGGACTGTACCAGCTGTGGCCAACTTCTCTCGGGTGTGGGGCTATGCCAGCTCCGTAGGGCTCTTCCAGCTAGATGGAAGCTGATTATAGTATAGTCATCCCCCCCAGCCATGTAGAGGACTATACCAGCTGCAGTAGCTGACTTCTTACTTGAGCTGGGTAACCTGGGGCTTTCTGGAAGTGTTCGGATTGCAACTCCCAGCATCCCCAGCCAGTCTGGAGGGGCCCTGATGGGAAAGCCTGCTTTACTGGATTTTGGCGTTACAATATGCTGATTCACCTTGGAATAATGATAAATAGTGCTGTTCTTAATCTCATGTTTTGTAGAGGTTTCTAGTTTTTTTTAATGACATAATGAACTTAATTCTCTGCATTCTGAACTTCCAGTTTTACTGTAATGGTAAACTCCCTGCTTATTTATGGATATTTTATTCTTTATCCACTGTGCTTCTTTCTACCTTCTTTTTGGCCGCTGTTTACTCTGGAAGGAATTCATCAATGAATTGTTGTTGTTATTTTTTAAAAAAAAATTCTGATCCACACCGTTCTTTCCGCTCTGCACGGGATTCTCTCGTGGGGGCCTTGGGCAGCCCCTCGTCGCTCTGGCTGGGTTTTTGAACTTTCCTGCTCCTCCCTCAGGAATACTTGCCGGCCGACATCCAGATGCAGTTTGCAGCCAGCCGAGAGTTGATCAGGAACATCTACAACAGCTTTTACAAACTCCGGGACCGGACCGAGCGGATAGCATCTCGGGCAGTTGACAACGCCTCCGACCTCCTCCTGTTTGGGAAGGAGCTAAGGTGAGCCGTGTGGATTCCAGACTCAAGCCCAGGGCTGGGTCACCCTCGCTTTATATATCGGCAAGTAGCGATTCTCGGGGTCTGGCTTGGAGGGATTCTGGCGGGGAGCAATGGTTTTCAGTCTTTTCTTCCCTCTTCATCTCGCTGCCGTAATCTCCCCACTTCTCTATCCAGCCGTGTGGATGAACAACGGCGTAAATGTGAAGTTGTCTTAACAAATGGCAACTTTAACCTAAGCAAACGGCTCTGGGAAAAAACATTTCCCTGTTTGGCCAGAGTCCGGCCGTCTCAAGCGTCCTCTTGGCCAAACGTTGCCCCTGATGAAAAGACGAGGTGTTTCAGTGTTTTTTTTTCCTTGCGTTTCTGTCCTCGCGGATGGGAACTCAAGGGAGCACACTGGGAGGTCTCCCTTTCTTTTGTCACCACAATAACAGCCCTGTGAGGTAGTGCGGGGAGAGGCTGCGCTGCGTTGGCTTGATGCACAGATACGGAGGGAGAGTCACTGGGTGCAAATGTGGGTGTGGTGCAAATGTTTGGCAAGGGCTTCACGGACACCTCCCTCTTCCAATAGTGCTTTGGGCTCGGACACCACCCCGCTGCCTTCCTGGGCGGGTCTCAACAGCAGCGCTTGGGGCAACCTGAAGCAAGCGTTGAAAGGGCTCTCCGTGGAGTTTGCCATGCTGGCCGACAAAGCCGTGCAGCAGGTGAGCTGGGGGGGGCAGTTCCCCAGAGCGGGTGGGGCCGGGCGGCCCCCCACAGATGGGACTTCATTGATGTTTCGGTGAAAATTGAAAAAAAATGCATACAGTGAGGAAGGGGATGAAAAGGTCACTTGGTGCCCGGTCCTCGCATTTATGACCTTCGTAGGTCTGTACAGCAAAGGAAAGCTGAAGGAAGACTGTGTGAGCACCGTCGTGGTTTCACTTAGCGGCCCCTTTG